TTTTTTTACTATTACTTAATATAAAATAATTAATTAATCTAAATTAGCAACTAATAAATATTTCGATAAATAATATAACATTTACATCTTATATTTACTAATAATTTTAAATACATAATAAACATTCAAATTAACCAATTCAAATAAATAATTACATATTAGATAACACAATAAGCCATTAATAATTATTTAATTAACTTCAATAATAACCGGAAAAAAAAATTAAAACGGTCCAGTCAACTGGGTCAACTGGGCCAGAAAAAAAAAATAAAAAAAACGGCCCAGTCAACTAGGTCAACTGGGCCAGACCGGCCCAGTTGACCCAGTTGACTGGGCGCCCAACCTAGTTGACTAGGGAGACCCCCAGACGGCCCAGATAACTGGGCCGTCTGGGCGTCGGGGGCGGCTGGGCGCGCCCAGACGGCGCCCAGTCGCCGTTTTCGGCATTTGTGATGAGGAGATCGATTTCCGGCGATCTCCACTCCTTCCCAAGTAATATGTTGCCAAAATTCCACATTTACACATGAATTTCTCAAAAAATATGTAGAAAATCATACTTTTTTCCAAAAATAAAAATATAAACATGGTTTTTTTTTGTATAAATTTCTTACCTTCTTCAGAGGGATTTTGGCCAAGTAGGTATCCTGTTTTTCCTTATTTGTCGGTGTTTGGGTCGACTGTGCTATAGTATTTTTCCGTCTCCTTCGGCTTTGCTTCATTTTCAAGTGAGGGTAAAATTGGGAATCTCTTCTTTTTTTTTTGGTTTTCACTGTTTTTTATAATTTTGCCTTTTTTTTTCATAGGTCAAAGGCCAGTTTGAAAAATTGGCCGGGTCAACCGGCCAACAGCCACTAATTCCTCAGCCACTTGCAGTGATCTTGGAAGTCTCGTGTACACTGCCAGACCATTTAGCTTACGACGTCGTTTTCTTCTGCTTTGACCTTCCTTCACCTATACTAAGATGAGGGGATTTGTTAAAAAACCTAGTCAAACAATGTTATTAATTAAATAACCTCCTTTCAATGTTATTTAAACAAATAGCTTTCAACTATTAAACACAATTAACAAATAATGTCAAATGTCATAAATACCCTCATTATTAGAAAAGACCCTAACACCCTTATCAATCCAATTAAATTTCCCAATTCAATTTTTGGTCCCCAAAATCATAATAATCCGATTTCTTCTCTTCAACTATTCATGCTACTCTAAAGATCCTATTTTTCATTATATTCTTCACCTATTTGGATATCATTTGAACATTTATCATCTATATTGAAAAATCTCATTTAGATTTGAAGAAAGAAGAAAGATAATTTTAGAAATTTTATATAAATTGTACATTTATTATTGAATATAGTATTGAATAATATTTAAGTGTTGTTTTTATACTTAGTATTTTTTTTGCAACTATTCAATAGTAATGACACTCCAACTATTATTCGAAATGTAAAACGTCACTCTAGTCGTTTTTCGTTGCATAAAACGACACTACAGTCGTTATCTACTGTGTTTTTTTTTTTTTAACAAAAAATCTCTAATAATGGACTACTGACGTAAGTAACATAGAAAAATTGATCATGGCACAAAGAAATATTGAAATGGCATAGCCTTTATATTATCGAGATGGTAAAATTACAAGTTGTCCTATTCATATTTGTCGATTAAATTAATGAGCATATCTATCAGTTTTTGTACATGTCATGTACATATTACAATATAAATAAGTAAAACTTATTATCTTTTAGGGACACGTATGGATCATGACTGCTTATAGTCGTATTTACACATGTAACAGCACATGTGTCGTTTTCATGTCCAGTAACGACACTTTTACCGTTTAGAAGTGTTTACTTATATTTAATCTTTTT